TGGAGATCGCATTGGCTTGCTGTGCGACGTCACACGAGTATTCCAAACGCATAACCTCTCCATCACTGCTGCTAATATATGCACGCGCTGGGGAAAAGCGGTAAACGAGTTTTTCGTCACTGACTCCGCCAATCGCCCTGTCGATTTCAGCATCATTGAGGCTATTCGTCAGGAAATTGGCCCCACGATACTGACTGTCCGGAATGTGGCCCCTCCACTCTTCAGCTCTTCTCCACCTCAGGAAACTCCATTTTCTTTCACAGGATTACTGAGATCCCTCTCTGTAGGGTTTTCCAACATGTACCAGACAAGGGGAGCTCCGCATTCGTCTAGCTTCACCACAAGGAGGCTCTGATTTCTCCTTGCAAATTGGCTCAAGCTGTAGTTGGGACGGAGGGTTTTCCTCTGTACATAAGTGTAGCACATGTATTCCATATCATTGGTGTAAATCATTTGCTTGTAAGGTTCAATATGAACATACTACTATTTCCCTGGACCAGAGAGATGTTATGGGTTACTATCAGCAGGCATTTGGTAAAGTGGAGTGGAGCTGATAAAAAAACTCAGAGAGATGTTCTGTGCTATGCTGCTGAAGAAACAGGACAGAGGAATGCATGAGGATACAATTTAGCATATAGAAAAACTACATATGGTAAGGATGGACTATCACCAAGGCATTACGTGTCATATGATGTCATGTCAGGATGAGGCTAGCACTGGGTCTTTATTTACCGTGTGAAAAGCACATACTAGCATGAAGTAATTTCTACACTGAAGCAAATCAATGTCAGCAACACAGCCTCCACCACACCTGTACGAGTTTTCCACAAGTCTGTCATCATCCCCTCATTCGTATGCCTCGTCAGTTGGCAACCTCTCTCACTCGGTACACAGATCTCCCTTGTGCCTCGTAGTATGTCCTCATGCACAGCTCCGCCACCAGGCCTAGCCCAAACAGCTGATGCAAGGGGGAGCATTAAGGGGTATACAGAACAGACAGGAATGATGTGGGGAGACATGGGTACGGGATACATGGGGAGCAAGGGCTAGAGAGGGCACAGCAACACACGCCAAAACACGGTAAGCCACCGACAGAGAAGGCAAGAGAGGCGAAGACTGGGAAGGCAAGTTAGTGAATGGAAGGAGCAGCAGCAGTGAGGAGTGAGGCGCTGGGGGGTGAGCCTGGCACTTACAACAAATCCGGCAACAACAAACTCAAGAGACGCCACCAGGTGCGCTGCCCCCACCACCATAGCCATGCCCACCCCGTAGGCCGCAGCCGCCTTGAGCGCCGCCGCGCAGAAGAGGACAAAAAAGACGGCGGCAGCGAGGAGCGTGAGGGCGGCGAGGGGTCCGAAGAAGTGCATGGGGCGGTCCCGAAAGCGGGTGAGGAAGGCGACAGTGAGCAGGTCGACGAGCACACGGGGCGTGCGAGAGAGGTTGTACTTTGACACCCCCACTTGCCGTGGATGGTGCTGCACCTGCAAGAGACATGAGCACACGGGGCGTGCGTCGAAGCATACGGGAAACAAGGGACACGAGCACACGGGGCGTGCGTATGGGAAGCATATGGGAAACAAGGGACATGAGCGCACGGGGCGTGCGTATGGGAAGCATATGGGAAACAAGGGACATGAGCGCACGGGGCGTGCGTGAGAGGTTGTACTTTGACACCCCCACTTGCCGTGGATGGTGCTGCACCTGCAACAGGTTGTGTGGGAAAAAGAGGGGGGAGGAAGCATACGAGAGACAAGAGACATGGGCACGCACACAGGGTGTGAGCTGCTTAAAGACACACATGAAAAATCTTGCTTCACACCAGATTCTTAAACATAGAAACGTGTGAACTGGACGACAAGCATTGTAGGCACTCATCTCAAATATTCCCCTTTCCCTCTTCCCCCCCCCTCACACCTCCCCCTCCCTTTCCCAATACCTCGAGCTCGGAGATGGAAGCGCCTTCCATAGCAGCGAGGGCGGGCAGGAAGCGGTGCAGCTCGCCGTAGAGGCGCAGGGAGCGCACCAGCGACCCGCGGTACGCCTTCAGACTGCACCCATAGTCGTGCAGCCGCACCTGCCCTCGCCGTGGGGGCACACACGTGGGAGAGACGAGAGGCAATGCAGGGAAGTGATCAAAACGATAACATTTTGCTGCAGGCGGAAAGCAGCAAAAGCAAGTCCCTGTGGCAGATACACCCCTTGCAATAAGCATAACCTTCCAACAAAAGCAGAGAGACCAGTTCTTGTGAGCGAGCATACCCCGGTGACGGCCCCAATGAGCAGATTCGCAACCGCAGAGGGCAGGTTGCGCGAGAGAAAGTCGTCTCTGCGTGCCCGCCGCCACCCGCACACCATGTCGTACCCCCCCCCGTCGCGCTCCCTGCCCGCCACCCACCGCGCCCCCGCCTCCTGCCCCACGGCGCCCTTGCGGCCCAGCAGCAGCAGGCGCAGCAGACGGGGAATGTCTGACGGGTCGTTCTGCAGATCGCCGTCCAACGTCACTATGAAGTCACCTGTGCGGGGGGGAGGAGGCCAGGGGGGAAGGGTGGGATGTGGGGCGGAAGGCCGAGAACAAAGGGAGGGGGGACAGGGTGACGCATGAAACGAAGGCGCATTGAGAGTCAGAGCGTAAGCATGGGAGGGTAGAGGCTGAATTTCAAATCCAGTGGCAATGCGAGCACATGAGAGACGCGCTTGAAATCAGACTGCATGCAAGAGCAAGCGCGCATGGCAAGGGGCAGCAGAGGGCAGCAGGGGGCAGCAGCGACCTGCAGCGTAGTCGAAGCCAGCAGCCATGGCGGCCGTTTGGCCAAAGTTACGGCGCAGCACCACCACCCTCAGCTCCGGCCTCTCCGCTGCCATCGCCTTCAGCAGCAGCGACGTGCCTGGAAGGGGGGGGGGAAGAGGCGGGAGAAGGAAGTGAGGGGAGAGGACGGGTGAAGGGAAGGGAGGCGGGTGGGGGGAGGCGTGGTTACGGCGCAGCACCACCACCCTCAGCTCCGGCCTCTCTGCTGCAATCGCCTTCAGCAGCAGCGACGTGCCTGGGGAAAGGGGGAGTGGTGGAAAAAAGGGGCGGGGGGAGGGAGGGCAATGATAATCCGGGAATAAGGGGGTGGGGACGGGGGGATGGAGTCGTGGAGGAGGTGCGGGAGTATGCAACAATTGAAGTAAGAGCAAGACAGTCAGCATCGGCTGAAAGCCTCAAGGTACCCTGCCTTGCTGCCATGCTGCCCTGCTGCCACTCACTCACCATCAGACGACCCGTCATCCACGCAAATCACTTCGTGCGGCCACCCCGCGCGGCTCAGCACGTCGCCGACCCTTTCCACCAGGATCGGGATGCTCCGAGCCTCGTTGAAAAGAGGAATGACCACCGACACGGTCGGCAGGTCCGGCACCGCAGTTATCGGCGAACCTGACGTCCCTGGTGACGTGGCGAGGGCGCTGCGAGCTACGGATTGGCGAAATGGTGTTTGGCGATGGACGGTGGACGGCGTGCACGGCGAAGAGAATCGCGAAACCTCAGGTCTGGGGAAGGGAGAAGAAAAGCGAACATGCGTTTCGCGGCGAAAATAAGAGCGGCGGAAATAAGATTATGGGCACGAGACCCACAGAAAACCGTCTCGTGTTTTGAGAACCTGTCCTCTCGAACAAGGAGAGCGACCAAAAAAAATCCGTAGTGCCTTGGGACTAGCAGCAGAGTCGGTTAGCGGAGCCAGTTACACGAGAGGCTAAAGCTAGAAAACAAGTGACGGTACACGACGCACAAATCGACACTGTCATCGTCCTACCTTCGCCAGGTGTCAGACGGAAAACGGCTGAGAAAAGCATCCCGTGCTCTCGAGATGCTCGCAACTGATCGACGCGATGTTCGGACATGAGACCCTCTTAAAGTGGCTGCAACATGGTTAATCTGTAGCTGCTCCACAGGTGAGAACACACAATCTAACGCGGCTCGTGCCGCGGACGCCATGACGCGTCAGCTGATCGTCGCGAAGGGGCGAAAAGGTGCTACGGCTATTATACTCCGATTTTGGACGGGATACACAGGTAGAGCTGCATCCTCGACCACTCCTGCTTCAAACCGAACTCTTGCTTCGACCACCTAACAGTGGCACTCCTTACTATTAGGAATATAGACCTCCGGCTCGGATAGCAGACTATCACTCGGAAGGGAAGCACACCTGTGCTAGGTTTTAATATCCAGGGAAAGAACAGTTCACGATTCACGAAATGCCTCCAAGCGAGCGACTGGGAGGATTGGTTGACGAAGACGCATTGACGAGCTGAGCAAGAGGTGGCTTTGGCGACGAGGAATTGACCAGGAAGACAAACTGTGGTGGCGAAAGCAGCGGTGTAACCTGCGTCTCGTAGACACGAAGGATGCTGCACACATGGGGACCTCCCGCGCTTGTCGCGAAACCTTCGCGGCTCGCTGGTTCCCGCCAATACTTTGCATTATTCATCCTTGTAACGGAGGCGATTGCACTGTCGAGGTTGAAATATCAGAATCAGTCAGCCGAGTAATAGGTGAGCTGGTATGTACCAAGGGAATATATACATATGATGCAGCCTAATTTTCATGACAGTTTTGGCGGCCTAGGCATGGGGTGGTTGACTGAATGTTCTTCCTCGTAACACAACATTTGGTAGCTAAACAGTCCAGGTAAATATCAACCTTCTCTGCAACAAAAGGAACACCCCTTCCGCCCATACACTATTCAGGGGCACTTGCGATGACTTCAAAATCAGGTCTTGCTAGGTCCCCTTCAGGAAAATTAGGTGTTTCCGTATCAATGGTGTGATGTTTCGCTGGAGGTCGGAATGTAACAAAACCGGGTAAAGAAAGCCGGTTGTAACCAGATTTTAGTTATAAATGAAACATGCCCACAGCTATATGGGGTTTCAACAAAGCTGGAATTAACCAGGCTGGACGCTGAGTGACTGGAATCAAACATTATACCGGTAATCAGTAATAGTGCAAGTGTCTAAGACCTAGTCTACTTGGCAGCTTGCTTTGCTTTGGCAGGAGAAGCACTAGCGGCAGGAGCCTTCGCGTTCAGCTCAGTCCAGGCCTCAATCCATGTCACCATAGCATCCGCTAGCTTGGTGAAGTAAGGGTCCAGCGAAGAGAGCTTGTCTTTCACCTGCTTAGCAAGTTCCAGATAGCATTGCTCCACTGTTGTTGCCTCCTTGGGCAGCTTTACTTGTTGGAAGAATGGGATGATATCTTCCTGCCAGAAGATACCCTTGTACTCCTTCTTCAGGTTGACGAACGGATTGCTGGCTTTGCTGTGCCAGATGTATGGCAGTCCTGTCTTCACTCCAAGGCCCAAATGGTCACAAATCACCTGAAAAACAGATGCAGTTAAGCAGGAATTCAGTAAGGGCGAGTTAACAGACCAACAACGAGCAAGGACATCAAGGACACCCAGATGAAATCAAGCAGCATTTCAATGTCACAATTGACGCTCTTGCCACTACCAAATGCAGGCATCGACGCATGTGGAAGCACGCATCGTGCCACATGGTTTTGCCATGATGGAATCAAACGCGGAAACCAAAGCAAAGGGGCTTTTTTTTCTTCGCGGAAAAGCGCACCTAGTATTCTTGGGTAATTTCGGCCTTCCAGTTATGGCTAGCCGCTTAGCAGACAGTTCGTTCTAGAACCGGCAATGCAGATGTTATCCGTTTGCCCATTCTATTCCCTAGAGTTTCCAACATCATCCTCTTGGGCTTTCGAAACAGGTCACATACCTTGATGCACCAGCCCGCCCACATGTCATCGTAACGTCCGATCGGCTGCCCATCGCCCATGAGCCCGAAGTACATGGCTGGCCCGATGAGCTCCCGGTCGAACGCCAGATTCATTCCGCACATCGGGAAGAGGGTTCCCTTGGGGATAGTCATCACCGCATCGACGTATCTGCCAGGTGTAAGCGAGAACAAGTTAGTCACACATTCTAGAGAGCTGAGTGTTATTAACTGAGGCACATCTGTATTAGATACCTCGAATTCCTCTCGCTTGGCTTGACGAGCTGCGTGGGTGCGTCGTAGTCAGGGATGTTGAGCCACAAGCCGTGCGACACCGCCGTCGAAACTCCTTCCCTTAGGCTGAATGGGTAGCCGCGGACGAAGTCAGCCCCCTCTCTGTACGGATCGTACAGCGTGTTGAAGAAGTAAGGCGTGGACGGGCTCAGCAGGTTCTTAATGTGCTGTTGAAGCGCGTTGATGTCCTTCCCTGACGGATCTTTGGCAACCTGTAGACAATAGGACACGTACGGGAGTAACGTATATCAAAATTAGTCAGCATTGACGGTTCAATATTTATCAGAATGTGCTTGCAACTGTTAAGAAATTTGTCCGGGACTATCTCGGAACGAAATAACTTACAAAGCAGTCGTCGTCGATTGTGTAGATGTACTTCTTCTTCGACACCATGTAGCCAAAGCACCTACACGCACTGTCCTTGAACGAGATGCACGACGCTTTCGGTCCAAGGATCCGGTTGATGTCATTTCTGTTGTACAGCTCGTAGTCAAAACCGGAAGGTACCTTGATGACCTTGGTTGGATCTCCATCCTGGACTATGATTAGATGGTATGGCTCGAAAAAAGGACGCCACATCTCGAGGAAATCGAGGTTGCGAATGGTAGGAATGACAATATCTAGCTGATCTTTCAGAGGGATATCGTCAGCCATGGCGTCTGAATTAGAACAGACAAATTAACTGGTGAAGAAAATAGGAACACCCCAACACTCAGGAAGAATGGAAAGTTTGATCCTAGGAACTAGAACTCTAGGATTCAGAATCCAGATGCGTTTCAGATTGTTTGAATGGTGTGTGAGGGAGATATACCAGTCCAGAATTGAGCGGGGGCACGCAAGCACAGCAAAGGAAACGGTTTGGAGTCTGGACGCAGGTGATTGGGCTTGGCGGTGCAACGCGGCAGGCAGCAAGGTTCGGTGCGAGCCTCGTGTCAGTCGAACGAACGAGATGGAAGCAGCCCCCCCGCCTGAGGAACCCGACAAAAGGCGGGATTGGCGAAGCGCAAAAAGGGCCGCCTAGCGTAGGTCGCACCGTGTTCCGAAGGGAGGCACAGATAACACGGACTGAAGACTGCACCGTTGAATGGCGCGCAACCCCTTTATGCGCTGGCTTCGTTCTGAACGAATATTCTGTTCGATATAGTCTCACGGCAGGTTTTAAATACATTTGCAGGTATCGCTGAAACGTATGAACCACTGAATGGTTTCATTATAACTACAAGCCCCATCTCAGTTACGACTGTTTATGCGTTGTACACTTGTGTTCTGGTGTATAATTCATACAAGCCCCATCTGGTCCAAACAGTTATTTCACATTCATACGGAATGAATATATTAAAACAAGTCATCATACGCAATCATTGAGCGCCACCCAGCACCACTAGTGCTACCACCAGCTGCAGCACCAACGCCAGCATCGGCATTACGCCAGGCATTTCCTCCTGCCCCCAAATGAGCTTGCTGCTTGAAGTGCTGATTTCCATGTGGCTCCATCTGATGGTGAAATCCCATGTGACCCATAGGAGCAGGGCCCGCAAGCATGGGGACAGGGGCAGCACCGGACAGCACCGCCATGGCTGTAGCGCTGGCTGCTGCTGTAGCTGCCAGCATCTTCATGCGCCCATTCTGCAGCTTTGAGGAGCCTTCTGCAAAGGAGAACCCCCCCACACCCTTCTTCCACTCTGGCAGAGACCCATGTGCCCACGAGACCCGCACCTGGTGAAAATGACGGGGGGAGGATGGAGAGGAAGGGGGAGTTTATGAGGCCCTGCTGAGCTAGCAGCAGCAATAGAATGGCAGCCCTCAGATGGCACACATGGTAATAGGGGCAACCGAGTCCTTTTTTGGAATCAATTCTGAGAATTCTCAAAAGTGACTTCAAGTCAGCCCTAGCATGCCACACATGGTAACAAGGCAACCAACGCCTATACCAACCTATCCATTCAAAAAGCACATCCACATCCCAACAAAGCCTCATCTCACCCGCCGCCCCCGAACAATGATAGTCGACCGGCCGTCCTCCCCTGCAGTAATGGCAGCCTCTGCTTCTGCGCGGTGCTTGAACCCCACGAACCCGTAGCTCTGCAGCTCCACCATGCGCGCGTGCACCACCACCCCGAACTGTGAGAAGGCTTCAGAGAGCTCGGCTGCAGTCGTGGCAGGGTCCAGGTCGCCCACAAACACACGGTGCTGCTGCCCTGCTGCAGCTGCTGCGCTGCTGCTCTCCTGTGCTGCTCCGCGGCCTCGGTTTCCACGCTGCACCTGGCTGCGACTGTGAGTGTGTCTGTGACTGTGGCTGTGGTGGCGGTGGCTATGGCTGTGGCGATCAGATTCACGACGATGGTCGCTGTATCTCTCCTTGTCACTCTCCGTTCCCTCGCCTCTGCTCCCATCCCTACCCTTGTGCCGCTTCTCGTCCCCCCTCTCATACTCACACCCCTCCCTCGCTCCCCTCTCCTCGCTCCCATGCCTCTTCCTCTTCCCACCTTCCTCCTCCTCGTCCACCGCCCGTCCCCTGCCCCGCCCCTCATCGCCCTCGCGATCGCCCTCCGCACGACCCCTCTCCGCGCTCTCCCCGCCCCGCGAGTCCCCCCCGTGCGCCGGCGCTGCTCTGCGGAGGGGCGCGGGGCGCTTGAAGCTCGCGGCTCTGCCCACCTGCGGCGCAGATGGCGCCGACGGCGTTGACGGTGTGGATGGCGATGCGAGTTCGGTGGCTGCGACGCCAGGTGTCGATGGGGAGGACGGCGACGAGGCAGGCGACGAGGAAGATTCCTTGGGGCTCGAACGTGCTTCCTGCGGAACGGGAAGCGGGGTGAGGAGGAAAGGGTGTGGGGGTTGGGGTGGGGGGTGGGGGAGGGGTTAGACAATGAGGGCGGCTTGTCGAACCCTTGCTCACCTTGCTCTGCAAAAACATTACAATTTCTTTCTCCCTGCGACAGCATTCTCGTTCATCAGTCGCTGCGACAATATCGTTCACCTTGCTCTGCGACGTAATCGCTCACCTTGCTGCGCGACATTATCGCTCACCTTGCTCTGCGACATTATCGCCTACCTTGCTCTGCGACATTATCGCCTACCTTGCTCTGCGACATTATCGCCTACCTTGCTCTGCGACATTATCGCTCACCTTGCTCTGCGACATTATCGCTCACCTTGCTCTGCGACATTATCGCCTACCTTGCTCTGCGACAGCACCTTCCTCGCCTTCTCCAGCGCCTGCTGCAACCGACCGCGCTCGTCCAAACCGTCCCTCCGCGACGCGCGATCCACCGTCCGATCATCGTCGACCTGCTGAATCTCAACCTCCCTCGGTTTGCTCGCCTCTGCCCGGCCGCGCTCGCCTTCCCTTGTCTCCCTCGTCGCCCTCGTAACCCTCTCCTCCCGCTCCTCCTGTTCCTCCCGTTTTTCTAGCTTCTCCCGCTCCTCCATTCTCTCCTGTCCCTCCACCGATCGCGCCGTCGCTCCCCCGCCCGTCCGCCGATCGTTTATCGGCGGTGTCTGCAGCTCCCAACCGCCTTCCGCTTCCTTCCTTCCCTCCTTCCGCGAACCTTCTCTTTTAGCGCGTCTATGCTCCTTCGCACTGCGACGCATATCTGTAACATCCGCGTCGTCACATTTTATGCGCTCATCAGAATCAATGCGCCAATCGGATTTGATACGATCCTCGCGGCTGCTCCCGCTGCTCGCACTACTTCCCCCGCTCCCCCCGCGCGGCGCACTGGGAGTGGCGCGCGAGACGTCGACGACCACGCCGCCCACCTTGAGGCGCAGCTTGAGCGGACGACGCGGCGCAGCGGGCGTCACCGCCTTGCCGCCCTCCGTATCATCGGAACCCATGGGCGGCGATGAGCTCCGGCTGCTGACCCAGCGGTCAATTACCAGAAGATTAATAGTGGAAACAGGAGCGTCGCTTCTGACGATGCGACTGTTGCTCGCGGCGATAATGGCGCCTTTCACCGCCGGCTCCCAGAGGCGCCGCGCACGCTGACTCGAGGAGAGCACGCGGACGGATTACGGCACAGGAGAGCGCCGCAAAATATCCAGGCAGCTAGGCTTACAAAAAGTTTGGTGCAGCTGAGCTCGGGTCTCAAATTTCCAAAGGTTTAACACCTGGTTGGGTTTGCCCGTCCGTGATTGGGTAACGAATGACGAAAGTTTTTACGAGCGGGTGAAAAGAACACAGCGAACTCCCCAACAATCAAGGCCAAAACAAACCTGGGTGGGCAGGTTTGGGTGTAAGACGAGCCTTGGGGGACAGGTTTGCGTCTGATTGAGAACTATGCGACCCACCCTGGCGACGCAATCACGTTTTGAGGTTGACAGAAGTGTGAAGTCAGAAAATGAGTGCCCACGCCAAGCAACCATACTCCCGTCGCTGAGCCGTAGTAACACCGAAATAGAAAGCCAGCTAAGCATTATTTCCCCCGTTTACGATTAGTATGAGAGCATCTTCCTTGATCGGGAATGAGAGACGGGATGGGCGGATTTAGAGTGGAAAACGCGGATTGAGATTAGGAAGGGCAGATTGCGACTACTACGGGCGGAATGAGAGTAGGGATGTGCGGAATGAGTTTAGGGTTTGCGTAATGCGATTTGGAACGTCGAAAACAGGTAGGAAGGGCGGTGTGAGATGAAGAAGGGCGGATTGAGAGGCAGAAGGGCGGAATGAGAGGATGAAGGGCGCGATGAGAGAACGAGGGGCGGAATGCGAGGAAGAACGGCGGATGGAGAGGAAAAAGGACGGAAAGAGAGGACGAAGGGCGGAATGAGGAAGAAGGGCGGAATAAGAGGAAGAAGTGCGGAATGAGAGGAAGAAAGGCGGAATGAGAGGAAGAAAGGCGGAATGAGAGGAAAAAGGGCGGTATGAGAGGAAGAAGGGCGGAATGAGAGGAACAAGGGCGGAACGAGATTAAGAAGGGAGGGATGACAGTAGGAAGGGCGGAATGAGAGTATGAAGAGCGGAATGAGATTGCGGATGGGCGAAATGCGAGTAGTTATGATGGAATGAGATTATGGAAGGGCGGAATGAGATTAGGGAAGCGCGGAATGAGATCAGGGATGGGCGGAAGGAGATTAGGGGTGGGCGGAATAAGGCGCGGGTTGATGGGGAGGGGGAATGGAGGGGGAGAGCAGGTGCTGCCCGAGGAGGGGGAAGAGAGACGTCGTCCCTTTTGACAGGGAGGTGAGTGCATGGGGGAGGGGATGTACTAGTGGTGAGGGTGGTGGGGAGGAGGAGGGGCAGGGGCTGTGGCATGTGGTGCGGGCATGCGGGGTGGAGTCAGCAGAGGGGCTGAGTGGCGTGGTGGACAAGTGGGGCTGGACCGCCATGCATGTGGCTGCTCGGAATGGTGACTCCCCCGTGGTCAGTCTCACCTGCCTCCCCGCCTGCACCCATGCAGCACAGCCATGCACCAGCTCTCACCCATGCAGCACAGCCATGCACCAGCTCTCACCCATGCAGCACAGCCATGCACCAGCTCTCACCCATGCAGCACAGCCATGCACCAGCTCTCACCCATGCAGCACAGCCATGCACCAGCTCTCACCCATGCAGCACAGCCATGCACCAGCTCTCACCCATGCAGCACAGCCATGCACCAGCTCTCACCCATGCAGCACAGCCATGCACCAGCTCTCACCCATGCAGCACAGCCATGCACCAGCTCTCACCCATGCAGCACAGCCATGCACCAGCTCTCACCCATGCAGCACAGCCATGCACCAGCTCTCACCCATGCAGCACAGCCATGCACCAGCTCTCACCCATGCAGCACAGCCATGCACCAGCTCTCACCCATGCAGCACAGCCATGCACCAGCTCTCACCCATGCAGCACAGCCATGCACCAGCTCTCACCCATGCAGCACAGCCATGCACCAGCTCTCACCCATGCAGCACAGCCATGCACCAGCTCTCACCCATGCAGCACAGCCATGCACCAGCTCTCACCCATGCAGCACAGCCATGCACCAGCTCTCACCCATGCAGCACAGCCATGCACCAGCTCTCACCCATGCAGCACAGCCATGCACCAGCTCTCACCCATGCAGCACAGCCATGCACCAGCTCTCACCCATGCAGCACAGCCATGCACCAGCTCTCACCCATGCAGCACAGCCATGCACCAGCTCTCACCCATGCAGCACAGCCATGCACCAGCTCTCACCCATGCAGCACAGCCATGCACCAGCTCTCACCCATGCAGCACAGCCATGCACCAGCTCTCACCCATGCAGCACAGCCATGCACCAGCTCTCACCCATGCAGCACAGCCATGCACCAGCTCTCACCCATGCAGCACAGCCATGCAGCCCGCTCAACACTCTCTGAACCCACCGTCCATCACGCGTGTGCACTCATCCCTCCCCGTCCACGTGCCTGCACTCACATGCACCTTCAATAATGTCGCAGGCATGGACCGCACTCACCCTGCTGCCCGCTTCTCTCCCTCCCCGCCGTTCTCCCATGCATGTGCCTGCAGCTGCAGGCGCTGTTGCGCATGGGCATGCCAGCGGGGGTGTGCAGCACGCGCAACGCCACCACGCCACTGCACGTGGCGGCGTATGGCGGCCACGTGGACTGCATGTGCCTGCTGGCGGCTGTGCGTGCCTGGCGGCTGTGAGTGCCTTGCGGCTGTGAGTGCCATGATTGGTTCAATGCAAGAACGGTAGAAAGTGCTTCGCTCGTTTCTTTCTCCACCCAGCTTCTTAGCCCTCTTGCCTTCATGCGCTCTACCCTGCGGTGCCCTCTGCACCCCGCTTGAATTGCTCTGGCTCTGCATCTGCTTCCAGAGCCGCTTTCCTCCTCTTTGTATCCCTCCGCCTTCTCTCATCCACCATCCGCCCCCCGCTCTCTGCCCTCCGCCCTCTGCCCTCCCCCAGGGACTCCATTACACAATGCAGTGACCAAGCAGCAGTGGGAGGCAGTGAGATGACTTGCACACCAGGGAATAGAGCCAGCAGAGGTAGAAGCAGCGGGGGCCAACCCCAAGGCGGTTCAGATAGTGTGGGAGGAGCATGCGCGGCGGGCAGGCCAAGGAGGGGAGAGGGGGCATGGGTTTTGGAAGGATGGTGGTGTGGGTGCGAGCTGAGTGGGTGAATTCCTTGTGCTTGATTATCACCATGATGTATGATTGCCTGCTGCCACTGCTTAGTGGCAGAACACAAGGAGGACAGGGTGCTGAGCAGTGGGAAGGGGCGGGAGGGGGGGGTTATAGAGCCGCTCCCAGGGCAGTGGGGAAGGTGAGAGGTGGGGATGAAGCAGGGTGGATGCTTCAGTAGCGCTTGTGGGCCACTCGCTGCTGCTCGCTGCCCGCCTCCTCGCCTCCACTTGATTACCCTCTGCCTTGATTCTGTGCTCTATTTCTGAGTGCTCATCTTGTCTCCCCTTTCCCCTCTCATCTCCACTCTACCCCATCCCTCTTCCTGCCCTCCTGTCCCCATCCTTCTCCCTCAGGAGAGCCGTACACCAACTGCACCGCTCTGAACCCATTTGTGCAGTGGAATCTGCAGCCGCTACTACCAGCCACTCCCCCCTCCTTCACCCTCACCTCACCACCCCCACCCGCCTTCACGCCGCCATACGCCCTCTCGTCCATCTGCTTGTGGACGTCCCTCTCCGCCATCGCACCTGGTCGCACACAAGCAACAGCCCTCCTGCCACTGCCGCCACACACAAAGCCTGCTGATGCAGATGCTGGCAGTGGAGGCGAGAAGGCAGTGGGGGGCGCAGTTGGTTCGAGTCAGGGCGTGCAGGGGGAGTGGGCAGTGGCGGGGTATGAGGCGATGCGTGTGGTGCAGGTGGGGGGTGGGTGGCGCCAGGGCAGCTATGGCCTGCCCTCCTCCCTCGCTGCCTCTGCTGCACCTGCTGTGTCTGGAAGGCAAGGTGACTTGTCTGGAAACCTTTGTTGCACTTCTTTGTAGTGATCAACTGAATGGCTCAGTTCAGTATTCTAAACACTGAAGTGATTTTTATAAAGAAGCATCCAACATTGATACATGTCATGGGTACTTGTCAAACCGGTACTATTTAATAGCTATAGCTTAACAAAATTCATGCGTGGCGGACCAGTTCTGACAAAATCCTGAGTGTCAAGGCTGAAGCAGCTGGAGAAGAGGGAGGCTGAAAAGGAGGGGAGGGAAAGGGGGAAATGAGGGGAAGGAGTGAGTAAATTGATGGGGAGCACAAGGGGAAATTATTTTATAGCAGAGGGGGTTCTGTATTGACCTGGTGCAGTAGGGGAATTGATGGGAAAGCAGAGCTGTAATTTATGGGGAGCGGAGGGGGGGATAACAGGGAGCAGAGGGGGGAATGAGAGGGAGCAGAGGGGGGAATGAGAGGGAGCAGAGGGGGGAATGAGAGGGAACAGGGGGGGGGGAATGACAGGGAGCAGAGGGGGGAATGAGAGGGAACAGGGGGGGGGGGATGATAGGGAGCAGAGGGGGGAATGAGAGGGAGCAGAGGGGGGAATGAGAGGGAGCGGAGGGGGGAATGAGAGGGAACAGGGGGGGGGGGGGGGGATGATAGGGAGCAGAGGGGGAAATGAGAGGGAGCAGAGGGGGGAATGAGAGGGAGCAGAGGGGGGAATGAGAGGGAGCAGGGGGGGGGGGAATGACAGGGAGCAGAGGGGGGAATGAGAGGGAGCGGAGGGGGGATTGGGGGGAAATTAGGGGAATTTATCGCAAACTGGTATATCACCCTTCCTTCCCCCCTCTGTCCTCTCCTCCTTCCCCCCCGCAGAACATGATTGCATACAACACACAAGAAACAGGTGGTGGTACGGTGTAAAGCATGGACTAGCTTTAGCTGCGCCTCAGCTTGCTCTTCTGCTTCACCACTGAAAATTAGGGGAGTGGAGTAGGCAGAAAGAATTGTGTGAATGAACATGGGGGAGGTGGTGTGAGGTGCCAAGGGAACAACTGCAAGGGAACACAAGCAAGCGCACATGATGAAATAATGTATGGGGAGACAGTGATGGGTGCACGTGCATGGGAACTAGAGGGTGGAAGGTGAGGAGTGAGGGGGAAGGGGAGGGCATGAAAAGGAAGGGAAGGGTTGAGAAGGGATGGGGAAGGAAAGCGCAGGGCAGGGAGGGAAAGGCAGGCATTGGGAGGGCAGGTGACAACTGGGCAGAGGGTGGGGGGAAGGAGAGTGCGAGTGGGAGAGGACGGAGAGAGAGAGTGCGGGAGGAAAGGAGAGTGAGAGTGCGGGTGCCAGGGGATGGGGGGAAGCAGGAAAGGGGATGGGGGGAAGCAGGGAAGGGGATGGGGGGAAGCTGGGAAGGGGATGGGGGGAAGAAGGGGAGGGGATGGGGGGAAGCAGGGAAGGGGATGGGGGGAAGCAGGGAAGGAGGGGTAGCACCGGGGGGAAAGGAGGAGAAGCAGGGGGGGATAGGAGGGGTAGCACCGGGTCTCCCCCCCTCTCAGCGCACCTTCTCCCCCCCTCTGTCCTCTCCTCCTCCCCCCTCTCAGCGCACCTTCTCCCCCCCTCTGTCCTCTCCTCCTCCCCCCTCTCATGTAGTGCTTGACATACCCGCACCATGCGCGATTACGTGACGAATGGCGCGTGAGATTACAGGCGCATTCGCGCTGATGCTAAAGAGGCGCCTCATGCCTATAGCGGGGCGAGCGCTGAGGCTCAGGTGGCGCGTGATGCCTACAGCGGGGCGCACTCAGCTGCTTGCGGTGTGCGCGCTGCTTACAGCTGGGTGCGCGCCCCTTGAAGGGAGGTGTGCGCGCGCTCACCGGCAGGGTACACACCTTTCCCGCGTCACTCGGCGGGCCTTAGTCCCGCGACTTCGGTGATATCGCCCCATTGCCGCGTTTGCCGCGTTTGGCTCGTCCCTATCGTCCTTTCCACCCTTCATGCTACTGCGACCTTCCCCTTTCACCTAATAAGGGCGGTTGATGAATGGCGATGAACCCCACGCCGGCAGTTTTTGGCGAGGAGAGGACGAATGTGGGGATTGGACACGCTAAATTTGATTATTTTCCCGTGTTCGGGCTTAGAGAATGCGGGTCACGGAATGCGCCAAGGTCTATAGGCGCACGGTTTCCCCTACATCATGATCGCGACTGAGTTTTCAAGGCTAGCTATACTAAAAGACGTGGCATATGGCTGGTAAAACACTTGAACTGGTGCCTACACGAACCGTTTTGTCAAAGTTGAGAGTTCTGAGTCTCATAATTCTGAGAGCTGTAAATGCTTGGTTTGCACGGGGAAGTGTGCGACGATGCCTCTGTTGTCGCACGTTTTTCTGTACACCTGTAGATTGGTTCGTGCAGGTGTGTTTCCCAACCTGCGTTGTCGTATTCCTGTCCCAACCAACTTTGCAACACGTTGTTTCCCTTTGGAGTTGGTTTTGCCTGGAACGAGGCCCTGTTTCAAACCTCTCCCAACCAACCTTCCCAAACCACCCCTTGCCTTGGTGTGCTTTGCGACAAACCCAGCTGTTACCGGATCCCAAGCGTTTAACACTTGGTGGGAAGGGTGAAATTTGAGACGCGAGCTTTAAAGCAGCGTGACTGCAATATATGGCCCCACCCCACCCTGGTGTGCTACCGTAGGTTGTAGTTGGCTGGGAGAATTTGGGAAAGGAGAGGCGCGGGGCTGTTTTGATGATGTAGAAACCCTGAACCTCCTTGGTTGGGCGTAACGGTGAATGCACGAAACCCAATTACCAACCAATCGGAGACGTCAAACAGCAAGAAGACAACTTGGAATCACTAAAACCTGGTGCGCTACAAAGGATAATAAGAAACGGAGCATTTATGCTTCCCTAAAGTGGTCTGACGCTACAATAAGCTCGTGTGTGATTCCTGGCTCATACATGGAATGACCTGCATTGGGGACTGATGTCCGGGAAAGTGAAGGGAATTAAGAAGAAAACGAAATAAAAAGGCATTATATGGCAGCATAAGATTGAGATGGATTGAAAATGAAAGACAGGAACCACCAACAATACGTACCAACCCGAAGCTGGGCTTCTGGCCACGCATGATGAAGGTCAATGGCGTTCTGTACAGAACACAAAGAAAACCAGGAAAAAAATAACAATATAATGAGTTTTTTTTCACTGATCATCTTCCATTGAGTACGAAAGCAAATGCAACACGTGTAGCGAGGATGCTTACAACGAGGGGGCAGACGAAGTCATATCGGCCGTGCACAATGACAGTGGGGATGTGCCGGATGGCATCGATGTTGTGCAGCAGCTGGTTGTCGCCCAAGAAACCATCATGATGCTGCTCTCGGATAAAACACATGGTTCAACCGAGAAAGAAGATTCTCAAGAGAGAGGTCACGTTGGGGAGAGATACACGACCGGATTTGACACTAACAGAGCATGCTATTGTGAATGACAGTATCGGGTGGAGAGTGTTTGTTACAGTGAGAGAATGGAGGCGTGAGCCACACTGGGTGCAGCAACTCACAAAGTAGTGGCACTCAATGCGCGCCTGTGCCACGGATCCCGATATGTGTGGCCCTCCCATCAAGTCCCTCCCTCCTGCGCCGCTCGTATCCTCCCTCCTCTCCTCCCCATCCTTTGGTGCCTCCTCTGTCGCCATCCCTGATTGCGGCCCTTCTGTTGCTCCCTTCTCCTCCTCTGCTGCTGCTGCTGCTACAGTCTGTGCAGATGCGTGTGGTGCTGCTGTTGCTGCTGCTGATGCTGCTACTTCTGCTGCTGGTGCTGGTGCTGGTGCTGGTGCTGGTGCTGGTGCTGCTGGTGCTGCTGCAGCTGGTGTTGCTGCTGATGCTGCTGCTGGTGCTGCCGCTGATGCTGGTTCAGGGGACGGAGGGGAGGCTGGGGAAGAGGAGGATGAGGATGAGGAGGAGGTGGGCGCGGAGGGGGAAGGAGAGGAGGGCGGGGAGGAGGAGGGGGTTGGGGATGCTGACGAGGGTGCAGATGAAGGGGAGGGGGGAGGGGGAGGGGAGAGGGGCGAGGGGGGGAAGGAGTAGGCGGAGCCATCCCAGGCGAGCAGGGCAGCAGGGGCGGAGGCGCCGGGGAAGTGGCTGAGAGAAAACTCCCACCTCATCCATGCTCGCGCCTGGTGGGGTGGAGGAGAGGGGAGGGGCTGGGGAAGTGGCTGAGAATCATCTCCCCGCGCGTCCAAGCGCGCGCCTGGTGGGGATGTGGGCAGGGAGGTGCGGACGTGGGATGGTGATGGCAGGTAGGCGGGAACATGGGATGATACTGACAGGGATGTTAGCTGGGCGGGGGGACGAGGGTGTGAGTGAACGATGCCCATGCTTCACCTGCTTTCATTGCAATGCCCCTCACTACCACGCCCCTAACTGCCACGCTCCTCATTGCCATGCCCCTCAGCGTGTAACGACAGGGCGCTAGTGTAACAAGGTTGTGTTGCATGCAACATGTGCGTGTAACTCACAGCACTGTCTCTCGCGGCTGAATCGGTGCTCATGAGTCGCTCGTAGAACACCGCCACCACACTCCCACTTGTTACCCCATTACCACCTCCACTCCCACCACCACTCCCATCTCCACTCCCAACCCCATTCCCATCGCCATCTGTGCGTGTGGGAGCAGGCGAGGGGAGCGCGGCCATGAGGTCCCGCCATGCGAATGGGAAGAGTGCCTCTGCCCCACCCTGCCAAGGGGGGTTGAACGGTGGAACGGGGAGGGATGTAAGTGGTGGGGCGAAAACACCAAATGCTAGAAATACAGTGACCAAGCCAATGTTTTAAGCTAAATGTATACAGGGAAGAACCGGGCAGGGCAACTTTACCGGGCGGTAGAACCAGTCGATCTCTCTGCGTCGCAGCAGGCACACCCCTCGCAGCACCATGCCCGCCACCCTCCCCGGGTGCGCCTGCGCGTATGCTAGCGCTAACGTGGTGCCCCAGCTGCCGCCCAGCACCACCGCCCACCTGGTGTGGCCGCACAAGGGGGGGACACGGTTGAGGGGGTGAGAGAAAGTGGGTGAGCGAGGGAGTCATAGTGAGGGAGTAATATGATGGTGGGAGAGAGGGTGAGGGAGTGAGGCACAGAGCCCCAGCTGCCAACCAAATGCACAATGCAGCAAGCACCAAGAGGCCCTCAACTGTCTGTGCACTTCTCCTGCAAGCACCCTGCAGGCGTGGACCTTGTAACTCACGTGAAAGGCCACCCCAACCTCACCTGTCCACCTTCAAGTGCTCTCTGACTGCCTCCAAGTCCCCCACGAGCAGGTCCGTGCGGTTCTCCACCACGCACCCTGCAGGGGTGGATTTGCCTGCTCCGCGCTGGTCGCACAGCACGATGCGGTACGCTGCCGGGTCGAAGAAGCGCGCGTGGTTGGGCCAACACCCCGCGCCTGGCCCCCCGTGCAGGACTGGTGGGGAGTGAAGAGAAAGGGATAGGCGGAAAAGGAGGGGTTGTATGCGGTGAAGCTCACCCGGCCATGTGGCCCCATGCAGAACCAGCAAGAGTTGGGGGAGGGGGAGACGGGGAGAGGCTGAAGAGGAGGGGTTGTGAGCGGTGCAAAGTAGTGACGGAGGGACTGGGGTGAGAGACGGGCGGACAGTGGGTGGAAGGAGGAGCATGCATGAGTATGAGTGTGCACATGTGAGGAAGAAAGGGGAGGGGAGGATGGGGGCAGGGGGAAGGTGGAATTGGGGAAAGGGGGAGGTGAAGGGAGAATCCAGACTCTAATTTCCAGAGAAGGCGAGGGCGCGAGGGGGCTGAGTGTGCACTGAGGGGCCACTAAGGGGGCACTGAGGGGTCACTGACAGAGGGCGGGTTTGCCGGCTGGGTTGCCATAGACGCGGTAGTAGAGCGAGTGGATGGCGGAGACCTTAAGGTACCCCTCCGCGTGGTGCGCGCCCGCGGGGTACATCCCGCGCAGGGGCGGAGGGGGGCCCGGCGCTGCGGTGGGGGGAGGCGGAGAGACGGATTGGGCGGGGGGTGGAGCGGAGGGAGGGGAGGGGGCGGGAGAGGGAGAAGGAGAGGTGGTGGGGGAGGAGGAGGAGGAGGAGGAGGAGGAGGAGGAGGAGGAGGAGGAGGAGGAGGAGGAGGAGGAGGAGGAGGAGGAGGAGGAGGAGGAGGAGGAGGAGGAGGAGGAGAAGAAGGAGGAGGGAGGGGGTGGTGGTTGTTTCCAGGCTACAATGGCGGCACGTCCTCGTCGCTTGCCATGCCACGTCGCACGCCTCGTCGCATGCGTCGCGAACGACAGTCCAATCCCGCGCTCGCCCCAACTCCTGATGCCCCGACGCGCATCCTCCCCGTACGCAGCCATGCTTCTCGCGACGCTTATTGCCGCCCAGGGACCATGCGATGGGATTGCTGGGGAGGGGGCAAACGAAACGGATGTTCTATTCAAGGGCGAATCAGATGTGCGTGCGAACGCAGCAGCCGCTCGTGCCTGAGAGGCGTGCGCTGCCCGCGTGAGCGCCATGGGACCACAGCAGGTCGCGATCAGGATTTAAATATCGTCAGGGTAGCAATGGCTTGTAATCAGCGATCGCGGGGTGCACCAGACTGTCTCGGATGGCTGCTGATCATGCTCATCGTATGTGTGAACGGTTGGGATGGATTATGGAGAGGACATGAAATGGCAGCAGGTTGATGGTCGACCCTCAAAGTGAACCTTGAGGTTGTCACTCTGGCGAAACTGGAAACGCAACTTGGGATTGTCGTGACGAGGAAGCGAAACTGGTTACGGGGGAGAACTCGGGGTGGTTACGCGCTCATTACGAGATTCGACTCTGCGACATGGGTTTAGTAACTGCAATTTCCACATTCGTGAATACTTCGTCAGGCTCCCACCTTGCATCCGCTGTTCCTCACGAGTAGTTCAGCAAGCTTCCACTCCACAAATCTGCTAATATCGCTCTTAACCAAACGATACCGTGGTATGCCGATCGAAACCGAAATCCCGCCAGTACGGCACCCTTCCATCTTGACTTTCAGTGAGCGCCTCGTATCAGTCACTGCCAGAGCCATTCCCTCCCACGTGGGAGATTCTCTCCCCCTTGAATTTCCCCACGTGCTCCCATATCCATCCATGTGGCTCCGCCACTACTACCACATTCCTGCCCACTCCACTTTCATCCTCACCCATGCGCCATTGATGGTCGTTAGTCCGATCTTGCTTAGGGAGATCTTTCACTAGTGATTGTTCGACCGCCACGTGGATGGATCTGCGGCAGAAGATCCTATCGACGGTGCAGGCTACGGTGCACGAGCACCGCCATCGCCCCCACAACAATGGCGACCCTCCAGGAACGAGCTTTTCACAAGTGGAAGGTGGGCGGAAGGAACGGGACTCGCCATGTGAGCGCCGTTGTTTGTCGCTGTAGAAACACTGTTGGGATAGTATCGTGCCGCGGAAATGCGAATGAGCCTCGTGTCACAGCTGGTATGTGTCTAGTACTCGTGGCATGTGTGGATTCACGTCACCGCGGCGCGCGCGGTAACGCTTCTCTCCTAATGCGGGCGCGTTCTGCCGTTATCCTGTGGCGCGTGCATGTGCTAATATCGAGGCTTCAACAGACATCCAGGTGACGGCGACTGTGGCGGCAGATATTGACAATGAGGGGGCAGAAGATGGCGGGATTCCGCAAACTGCGCAGCCCAAGGCGCAGCAGGGTGCGCAGCACAGCGGTCACAAGGGCAAGTGGACGGAGCAAGAAGTTTGTGAGCCTCCTTTCTCCCCCTCTCCATTCTTCAAAACGCGCTCATGCTTAATAAAATGAGCGGAACTCCCGTGCTGGCCTTGTCCCCTAGCTTACACTACCTTCCGATCGCTTATCCTCTCCTTCCCCTTCCCTTCCTTCCTTGCTCCGCGCGTCCCTCCCTCTCAGCGTCACATCCTCAGGACCCCAGCGTATCGCTTCCTCCTCATCTCTTCCCCTATCTGTTCTTTCCGCCCGCCTCTTCCCCCCCCCCTTCCCCAGTGAGCGTGCTCCGCGAGGCCTCCGCGGGCAGTGGCCCCGCGCCAGCCGCCGCGCCGCACAGCGCGAGCTTCGGCGCAGCAGCAGCAGCAGCGGCCTTCCGCGAGGCGGGCGCAGGGGCGGCAGGCGCGGGCGGCAGCAGCAAGCCAGGCAACCCGGGCGGGACGGCAGTGGGCGGCGACGACGGCCCGACGCGCGTGCAGCGGTTTCTGATGCGGCTGGCGGTGGCGCTACACGCGTACGGCAGTTCTGCCGCCCGCACGGAGTTCCTGATCGAGCGTGCCGGGCGGCGACTGGGCGTGGACGTGAGTGTGGCGGTGCTGCCAGATTTGATTCTGCTCGCCTTCAACCGCGTGGTCGGGGACGATACTGCTGGGTGAGATGCGGTGCAAATGCGGTGCGTGTGGTGAGCGTGGTGGGCGTGGTGTGCGTGGTGGGCGTGGTGGGCGTGGTGGGCGTGGTGGGCGTGGTGTGCGTGGTGTGCGTGGTGTGCGTGGTGTGCGTGGTGTGCGTGGTGTGCATGGTAGGCATGGCATGGTAGGCATGGCATGGTAGGCATGGCATGGTAGGGATAGAGGGCGCGACTGGGCGTGGACGTGAGTGTCGCTGTGCTGCCTGACCTCATTATTCTCGCCTTCAACCGCGTGGTTGGGGACGATACCGCTGGGTGAGATGCGGTGAAAGGTGTGGTGCACGCGTGGTGCTGTGGGTGGGGTTACATTGATGTATCTACGAGCACCAGCTGTGCTGCCGGACCAGTGTATGATATTCCGTGGTGCAGTGCATGAGCGGGCCGTGCAGCGTATGAGCGGGCGGTGCAGCGTATGAGCGGGCGGTGCAGCGTATGAGCGTGCGGTGCAGCGTATGAGCGGGCGGTGCAGCGTATGAGCGGGCGGTGCAGCGTATGAGCGGGCGGTGCAGCGTATGAGCGTGCGGTGCAGCGTATGAGCGTGCGGTGCAGCGTATGAGCGGGCGATGCAGCGTAGGAGCGGGCGGTGCAGCGTAGGAGCGGGCGGTGCAGCGTAGGAGCGGGCGGTGCAGCGTATGAGCGTGCGGTGCAGCGTATGAGCGTGCGGTGCAGCGTATGAGCGTGCGGTGCAGCGTATGAGCGTGCGGTGCAGCGTATGAGCGTGCGGTGCAGCGTATGAGCGTGCGGTGCAGCGTATGAGCGTGCGGTGCAGCGTATGAGCGAAGTCCTAGCATCCTTCTGCTCCCCTCCACGCTCCTCCACTCGCCTCCTGCACCCCCAGGCAGTGCGCGAACATGCTGTCACTGTTCCCCACAACGACCTTTGAGATTTTTTAGGCGCCTAAAAAAAGAACATGTGTCGTTGTTCCCCAGGACGACTTTTGAGGGGCTTTGGAAATGCCGTCCGTGTCCTCCCCTGCATGGTTCTGGACATGCTGTCAGGCGCACATTCATGAGGTGGCTACATGTACAGACTCTCCCTCTCCCACCCCTCTTCACCCCTCTGCACCCCCAAGCAGCGCACGCACATGCTGTCCGTCTCCCCAGACATGGGCGTTGACAAGCTGGGGTGAGTAGACGAGCTACCTCCCCAGCACGCAGTGTGGGGTTGAGGGACGCGCACAACCTCATGGCCGCCTACTGGCAGATCTGCGCTTCCTTGTACAGCCGTGTCATTCTCCTTCTCCCAACCCCCTTGCACCCCTCTGCACCCCTCGGCACCCCTCCCCAGGCAGCGCACGCACATGCTGTCAGTGTCCCCGGACATGGACCTGGACAAGCTAGGCCGAGTGGACGAGTTGGCGCGCAATGTGGGGTTGAGGGAAGCGCACAACCTCATGGCGGCCTACTGGCAGCTCAGAGCCATCGCCAACGCGCCCCCCACCTTCTCCCCGCCCATGCATCTCCTCGCCATGGCTCTCATGTCCGCCAGCGCTGCTGTGCTCTTCTTCGGTGGTAGGCCTCGCATGCCACTCCCATACACCTCTCTCCACCTCACTGCACCTCTTTGCGTCCCTTGCGGCTGCGCCCATGCACCTCCTCGCCATGGCCCTCATGTCCGCCAGTGCCGCAGGTGCTCTCCTTCGGTGGTGCGTGCCCCTTGCTGTGCCATGTGCCCTTTCATGTGCCGTGCCGTGTGACCCTTTCCCCCCATGCGCTCATGCACCTCCTCGCCACGCCATGCCTCTCTAATGTCCTCCACTGCTGCTGTGCTCTTTTCTGGCGCTAGGTCGCTCGTGCACCTTCCATGCTCCTTCGTGGGCAGGCACCCGACTCCAGCCGCACGTCCACTTCTCCTGCCACCCACCTCTCCTGCTTGCGCTGTGCTCTGTGCATGTGACGTGTGTGTGCCATCACTGCACGCACCATGCTTCCCATGCCATCATCCTTCTTCCACTTGCCCTCCCCACCCCCTCCGCGTCCCACCAGGCAACATGTGGGACGGGCTGGTGGCGGGCGTGCTGGGCTTCCTGGGAGGAGCCATGGAGTTCTGGGCCATCTCCAACTCGCAGGTGCTCGCTCATTTCCCTGCCCTCTCACTCACTTGTACCGCATTCAGTATCCTTCTCACGCGCCCCGCTACCCCCGTGCACCCACCCTCTCGCCTTGCCTCACCAGCACCAACGCCTCTGCGTCCCCCAGGTCAGACAGTCCCCTCGTCAGACAGTCTCCTCGTCAGACAGTCCCCACGACAGACAGTCCCCTCCACTTCTCCCACCCCACCTGCCAGGCAGTAACGTCTATTCTCAAGTTTCTCACCACCTTCACCAGCCACATTTGAGGCGCGTCAAAGCTGGACTCTTCCTCCCCTATCCCCCTATCCCCCCATCCCACGCCACCAGGCGGTAACATCCATCCTCGAGTTCCTCGTGTCAGTGCTCGCAGCCTTCACCGCGCATCTGTGAGGGATTCTCACACGCACTCTTCCTCTCTCCACCGCACCCCCCTTCACCCCACCAGGCGGTAACGTCCATCCTCGAGTTCCTCGTGTCAGTGCTCGCAGCCTTCACGGCCCATCTCCTCGCTGCCTCGCTGCTCAGTGGTCGCATCTGCATCTTCGCCACTCTCTTCGGCGCCCTCGTCTGGTTCCTCCCAGGCAAGAAGCTCTGCTTCTTCCCCTTCCACCATGCCACGTGCCACGCTTGCAGCCTTCTGATTATCTCATAATAGCGCTCTCTCACACCACAATGCTCCATTCCATCCTCAAATCTCCCCATGCCTTCCGTGCCCACCCTTCTTCCATGTCCCCACCCTTCTTCCATGTCCCCGCCCTCCTGCCCCTGCGCCATCCTGCTGCCCTTTTTTCTTCCCATCTTTGTAACGCTTCAAAAACTCTCCCCCCTTTTTCCCCAGGAGTGACGCTGACCTTTGGCGTGAACGAGCTAGTCGCCCGAACACAAGTGACGGGCACGGCACGAGTGGCAGCAGCCATATTCACGTCGCTACAGATCGGCTTTGGCATCTCTGTGGGCATGGGGCTCTGCTTCTGGACCGCCTCCCCCACCGCTCTGCAGGACTGCCCGCCTTCGCACCTGCCCCTCTGGACCAACATTTTCTGGTGGGTGCGCTGCGCTGCTCTGATCTGCTCTGCTATTCCACCTACCTGTCTCCCCCCCCTGCACCGGTCATGGCACACGCCCCTTACTTGCTGACTCCCAGAACCGCTCTCTGCCCCGCCCTTTCCCTTCCCCCCACCCCAGGTTCGGCATGTACATGGTCGTGGCGAGCATGCACCTCACGGCCCATGCTACCTTTGCTTCAGGTGCCCTGCCAGTACTTTCTCCACATCCCCTAATTCCCCCCATCCCCCCCTCCCCAGGTTCGCCATGTACGTGGTGGCGAGCAACATTCGGTGCAATGCGCGGCTGGACCAGTGGGACGGCATGACGCTCGTGGCCCTCGTGGGCTACGTGGTATCAGAGCTGGCCTACCGCACCATCGGCAACGACACTGCCTCCGTCGTCGCTGCCTTTGCTGTCAGCACGTCAGGTGGGGTGAATTCAGGCCTCTGCTCTCCTGTTTGTTCATTTCAACTCCTTTGCTGCCCATCCCTCTTTTCATGTCTTTGCCCATACCCCTGCCTATCTCCCTCTTGATGCCCTTCTCCCCTCGTTCCCTCCCCCCACCAGGCACCTCTTCTCACACTACGCCCAGGAGTTCCCTCTCGCGATGAAGATCTCGGGAATCCAGCTGCTCGTGCCGGGCGGCATAGGAGTGCGTGGCGTGGCGGCCATCCTCAACCAGGATGTCATGTCCGGCATCGGTGTCGCTCACTCCACTCTCACACCTCTCCTCTCCCCGCCCTCCCATGCCCTCCCATGCCCTCCCATGCCCTCCCATGCCCTCCCCACCTTTCCCCCCCTCCCCCTTCCCCCCCCACCAGGCACCCTCCTATCACACTTCGCCCAGGAGTTCCCCCTCGCAATGAAGATCTCGGGGATCCAGCTGCTCGTGCCGGGCGGCATAGGAGTGCGCGGGGTGGCGGCAATCCTCAACCAGGACGTGATGTCCGGCATTGGGTTCGTCTTTGAGATGCTCACTGTCGGCCTCGCCATCACCATCGGGCTCATTCTCGCGAACCTCGTGCTGCCCGAGTCCATGTTTGCGCACGGCAGCCGCCCGCATCATAATAAGAGGAGGCTTGCGGCGGATTTACGGGCAGATTCCATGGCGAATGTTGGGATTGGGGGTCGGTTGGATGGGGCGACGGGGAGGGATGAGGTGGTGGGGAGAGGGTTTGGTGCGAACTCTGATGGGGGTGGGGTTGGTGGCGGCGCTAGGGGAGTGTTGGCTGGAGTGTTGGGGCTGGCTGGGTTGAGGAACCGGGGGAATGGGGAGGATAGATTAGCTTCTGCGTTTCTGCCCCAAGTGAAAGAAGAGGAGGATTCGGTAGCATTTTAGCGACATAGGATAAGAGTAGAGGCTGCAAAAAGGCTAATTTTGGAGGCTCGACATTGAGTTGCTTTATCTTATGCAATTTTATATGTTCCGCAAATGTTGTTGGTAACACACTTCTTCACGTCAGCACCACGATTGTCTGTGTCGTGTCGGGGATGCCGCAGGTGTGTTTGGGATCTCGCTTGTTGACTTCATGGAATGAATTTCGTGCGCTGTTCAGCTTTCGTGGCAAGTTGCCTATTGGTGCTCGACACGGGATCCGAAGAGGCCTGATCTGGAGCCCTCGATGCTGAAGCTTTCTGCTCTCAACCTCACGATGCTGAGGGAACATTGCTTCGGTTGACGCGCCGCGCGATGGCAAATTTCTCGTTCGTGAGCGACTCGTATGTCAATTTTGCACAAAGCTCCACTCCAGGAACATTGCCATCCATCCTATGTCCTCGTGGGGCGCACTGTACGCATCACTCCCACCCACAGACCCAATCAATCCCCTAACGACGATGACGATTCAGGGCTGGGCTCACCAAGGGACACTGCGAGTGACTTACTATGGTAAATTCGTTCTTTGGGAAGCGAGAATTCCAGTTGCTGCTCTAGAACCTAGTGTGAGTAGTTGAGGACTGAATGCCTTCTGAAAAAAACAGAAAGAACCAAGCAGACCTAGAGATTTTTTTTCACCTTATACAAGTAGAACACATGACTTTGCGCGGAGCGCGCACCAGTGCTCGGATGCGCTACGAGGCCATCCTCGCACTCGCAGGGCTGCTTGTGGTTTCACGAATTTTCTTGCCAGCATCGGCGCAAGTGGACGAGGAGGCGGGGGAGAGCGCGGCGGAGCAACAGGCGGAGGTTCCGCGAACCATCACCGCGAAGGGTCCGATAGGACACCACCCGGCGGACATGGCGAGGGACACGGCAGAGCAGGTGGCGAAGCGGCAGCAGCGGACGACGTCGCCCAACCTTCGTCGCCTGGCGCTCTTCGTCGACCCGCTGCCCATTCCGCCCGTCGTGGACGCGTCCAAGCTGTCGCGCCGCAACGGACAGTCACCCAAGATCACGATCGGCGTGTACAACGTGAAGCGGGTGAGATGATGCCGCCCGCCCACTAATGGCAACGCACGCAGCGGAAAACATCACAAAAGTGTGGCAGGTTACGCGCCTGTCTGCCTCTCTCAGTTCCGTCGCCCTTTTCCAGCATTCACTGCATCCTACAGTGACGATATTTCCCCCGCCAACTCCCACTATCGCGCCTACATTATCGCCTTTCTTCCCCCCCCCGCCTAACCTCGCCGCTCCCCTTCCCCACTCCCGCCCTCCCCTTCCCTCCCCCCCGAGCAGAAGTTCCACCGCGACCTGCCGGCCACCAAGGTGTACGCGTTCGGGCTGTCGCGCAGGACGGCGAGCGTGCCGGGGCCGACGATCGTGGCGCAGAATCGGGAGGAGCTGCGCGTGGAGTGGGCGAACAACATCACGGACAAGCAGCACATGTTTCCGCTCGACCGCACGCTCATGGTTCCCCAACTCAAGCTCGGCGGTGTCCCCATCGGTGAGGGCCGTAGTGCGGAGGAGATTAGTTTCTCATCGTGATGTTCCAGTGAGCTTTTCACGAAGTGTCTCTGTGAGGAGACTGCTGCACATCTCGCTTCAGCAGCAATGCGGCTGCTGCCAAGCGAGTGTAGCCAGCGGAGCTTGTGGCACGGGATTCACTCTCGCGCTCTCTCTTCCCCCCTCCGTCGCATCTCCGCCTCCCCGCAGCCGTCCACGTTCACGGCGCGCAGGTATCGAGCAAATCGGACGGCCATCCGAACGCGTGGTGGACGCATCAGGGAGAGCGCGGCCCGACGTTTGTATCGAACACGTACACGTACCCGAACGGGCACGCGGCGAGCACGCTGTGGTACCACGACCACACGGCCGGCATGACGCGCCTCAACGTGCTTGCCGGCATGTTCGGCGCGTATATCATCCGCCACCCCGAGCTGGAGCAAAAGTTCAACCTGCCCGCGGGCAGGTACGACGTGCCGCTGGTGATTCAGGACCGCTCGTTTGTGAAGAACGGATGGACGTTCCTGCCGAGCCAAGGCGTGTCCAAGGTGCACCCGCACTGGATGCCCGAACACTTCGGCGACTTCATGACCGTCAACGGCAAGGTCCGTTGCTCTTCCTTCGTCCCGTACCCTCCTTTTACCTGCTCCTATTCCACAGGCATTTTGCCTATTCCCGCATTGCAACGCCTTCCATAGCAATGGCCAAAGCTCCACACTCACCGTTGCTCTGGTACGAATTTTCATCCCACGCGCGCAGGTGACCCCCTACATGCGCGTGGAGCGCCGCAAATACCGCTTCCGCATCGTCAACGGCGGCACGGCGCGCTTCCTCGAGCTCGTCTTTCGCGCGGCCCCCGCCAACACCGATCTCACCCTGCGAAACGCGCTCTCCGCGTCCCCGCAACTCCCCTTCGTGCAAGTCGCCGCGGACGGCGGGTACCTCAACGCGCCCGTTCCGCTCCGCCGCTCCGTGCTGGGTCCGGGCGAGCGCGCGGACATTGTCGTCGATTTCTCCAAGCTCCCCGCGGGCACCGCGGTGTATCTCACCAATCGCGCGCCCGCGCCTTACCCCGGGGGCGCTGTTCCGCAGGGCGACCTGCGCTTCGTGATGCGCTTCGACGTCGTGCCCGCAACGTCCGCCGACACGACGCGCGTGCCAGCCACGCTCCTCAGCATCCCAGCCGTCGATCTCACCAAAGTCGTCAATTTCAAGGCTCCGCGGATCATCAGTCTCACAGAGGTCGAAGATCCCGCTTCCGGTGCGCCCGAGTCGGGGCTGATGGAAGGGAAGCATTTCAGCGCGCCTGTGACGATTAAACCTAAGTTCGGGACTATGGAAGTGTGGTACATAGTTAATCTGTCAGAGGATACCCATCCCGTCCACATTCACTTCGCGCCGCACCGAATTCTCTTCCGCCGCCGCCTCAACACGACGCTGGTGGAAGAAAAGAAATGCAGCATGGTGGGCGGAAGCTGCTTTGTGGGGAGAGCAGTCGCGCCACACCGGACGGAGCGCGGGCGGAAGGACACGAGCAAGGCGCCTCCCGGGTGGGTGACGGCGGTGGCTGTGGATTTCGCGCCGTGGCAGGGCAAGGCGCTGTCGTTCGATCCGCGCGAGGGGCCGGGATACGTGTTGCACTGCCACATCTTGGATCACGAAGACAACGATATGATGCGCCCCTTCGTACTCGTTTGAATGGCGCGAATGTGGGCTTGTACCACGTTATACATCGCAGGGAACGTGTACAATAGAAATGCATGGTAGGTTCAACACTGATGTGCTATATTAAATTCGCTACATGATGCCAACAGCAGTTCAAACGGATCATATATATTACACCATTGTTTACTATCCGTCCAAAAAACCTGATGCATATGGTGCCGATAAATGACGTCATTGTGTACAATATACATCAAGCTGTCTATGGCTGCTGCCAGCGTGCCTTGACCTCCTCTGAAGCGTTCTCCATCCGATTAACCGTCTGCGTGATTATATTCCCCACCGCCGTCTGCTGTATCATCTGGCCCACGCGGGTGGCAAGCGACGTCTCTTCTGCGACCTGAGAGGCGTCGGTACGGCGGTGCCACTGTAGCTCGAGCTGGAGCTGCCCCTTGGAGTCGATGAGAGGGTAGAGGTCGTTGATTCGCCCGTTGATCACCACATCGCTCAGCTGTATCTCACAGTACCCCACCGCCTCCTGTGAGAGAGGAGGGAGGAGGGAGGGGGAGGGTGCATTTTGAGCCACCTCAATACACAACTCATCGCCCGTTGATCACCACATCGTTCAGCTGTATCTCACAGTACCCCACCGCCTCCTGTGGGAGGGTGATGTTGAGAGGGGGGAAGGGTGCAATTTTAGTCGCCTCAATACACACTCAATCAACACGCCGCTCAGCCGTATCTCACACCCCACCGCCTCCTGTGCGAGAGAGAGAGGAGGAAGGAGGAGGAGAAAGGGGGAAGAGGGGATGAAGCGCACAGAGGCTCTAGGTGTGTGAGCTGGAGGGTGGAGAAATGTTGGTCGTAAACAAGTGACCAGAAGAAGGAAGACTGGCAAGAGCCATGCGGCTACACGCGGTTGCGGGCGGGCAGGCAGGCACGTGGGCAAAGGGGTGGGCGGGCGGGCGGGGTCGGCAGGCAGGCAGGCAGGCAGGCAGGCAGGCAGGCAGGCAGGTAGGCAGGAAGGTGGGGGGGGCGAGGGGATAGAGGGGCAGTACCTTGGAGAGGACGGAGAGCGCGCGCGGACCAAGGCGCGCGCGCGGACCAAGGCGCGCGCGTGGACCAAGCAATGCGCGCGCGTGGACCAAGGCGCGCGCGCGGACCAAGGCGCGCGCGCGTGGACCAAGGCGCGCGCGTGGACCTTCACCCCTACCTGCTTCACCCCTACCTGCTTCACCCGTACCTGCTTCACCCCTCTCGCACCCAGCTCTGCCACTCACCTCGCCTCTCTCGCATCCCAACCCACCTGGCTCTGCCACTCCTGGTTTCGGAAGCGCAGCACCACAAACGGGTTGGCGTGGTGCCGTGCCTCCAACCCCTCGCCGCGCTTCAGAATGACGCGCAGCAGCCCGCCCCCCACCGGCACCCACTCGGGGAACGCCTCCGCCTCCTCCTCCTGCATCTCCTCCGCGTCCATTGGTGGGGGGGCCTCGTTCTCACCCAGAGGGCTGGTGGGAATGAGGGCAGGCAAGGGAACAGAGGGGATTGAACGGCCTCGTCCCCCTCGTCTTTCTCGTCTTCGCCTCCTCCTCCTGCATCTCCTCCACGTCCATTGGCGGGGGCGCCGTTCTCTGCCAGGGGGAGAAAGAAAAAGAAACATATAGGGAGAGAAAGAGGGACCGAGGTGAGGGCGACCTGCAGGCAGGAGAGCAGCGATGCGTGCATGGGTTGTGCAGGGAGGACTCAGGGCAAGGGGGGAGGGAGAGGTGGAAAAGGATGTGTGCTGGACTGGACTGTTTGCTTGATGGAGCCTGCTTGCCATGCCACACACATTCTATGCGCCATTTATCATGTGCCATGCGCCACCTGCCATGCACCATGTGCCATGCGCCACCTGCCATGCACCATGTGCCATGCGCCACCTGCCATGCACCATGTGCCATGCGCCACCTGCCATGCACCATGTGCCATGCGCCACCTGCCATGCACCATGTGCCATGCGCCATACACCATGTGCCACGGCGTGATATGTGCATGTGCCATGCGTCATATGCCACATGTTACATGCATGCCACAAACACAGCAGCGAGCATGCACCCACCATGTACAGCAAAAGCACAGTTGAGTCAATTTAAAAGCACCCACTTGTACAGCAGGCGGAAGCACACACTCCCGATGTCCCTTCGGCTCCTCCCCCCCGACTGTCCCCCCCCCAGGTCGCTGAAGCGCGGCGCCAGGCGCAGCTCAAAGTCCTTCTCCTCCCCCACTGCCAGCTCGCTCAGCGCCACCAACTGCACGCCCATCAACCTGTCCGCCTTCCCCTGGGGAGGAAAACGGGGTAGTACGAGGGTGGGGTGGGGAGAGGCAAGTGGGAGAGATGTGGGAGAGGGGTGGGAGAGAAGGGTATGAGTGTTGGATCTCACTTAAGCAACTCAAAGTCCTTGGCTTCCCCCACTGCCAGCTCGCTCAGCGCCACCACCTGCACGCCCATCAGCCTGTCCGCCTTCCCCCGGGGGCAGGCAATGGGAGGGTGGAGAGAAGTGGGTGAGTGAGGGGGTGAGGGGGGTGTGAGCGTTGGCTCTCATTCAGGCAGCTCAAAGCCCTGTTCCTCACCCACTGCTAGCTCGCTCAGTGCCACCAGCTGCACCCCCATCAGACTGTCCGCCTTCCCCTGGGATGGGAAATGGGGCAGGATCAGAATGGCAGGGGCAGGCTATAAATAGGCGGAGGGAGGGGGGAGAGAGACGGGGATATACATGGAAGGAAGACAAAGGCAAGGAAATGTGTCTCAAAGTATATCAAACCACTGCCATGCGCGCCCAGCCCACAGCCACTTTTGAGGCGCCTCAAAACCGGGAGACCGGGCAACCGGGAAACCGGGAGACCGGGAAACCGGGAAACCGGGAGACCGGGAAACCGGGATACCGGGCAACCGGGCAACCGGGCAACCGGGAAACCGGGAGACCGGGAAACCGGGAGACCGGGCAACTGGGAAACCGGGAGACCGGGAAACCGGGATACCGGGAAACCGGGATACTGGGAAACCGGGAAAACGGGAAACTGGGATACCGGGACATAGGGAAACCGGGAAACCGGGATACCGGGAAACCGGGAAACCGGGAAACCGGGATACCAGGAAACCGGGATACCGGGACATAGGGAAACCGGGAAACCGGGATACCGGGAAACCGGGAAATCGGGATACCGGGAAACCAGGATACCGGGAAACCGGGAAAACGGGATACCGGGATACCGGGATACCGGGAAACCGGGAAAACGGGAAACCGGGTAACAAGGATACCGGGAAACCGGGATACCGGGACATAGGGAAACCGGGATACCGGGATACCGGGATACCGGGATACCAGGATACCGGGGTACCGGGATACCGAGATACCGGGAAACCGGGAAACCGGGAAACCGGGATACCGAGATACCGGGATACCGGGATACCGGGATACCGGGAAACCGGGAAACCGGGAAACCGGGAAACCGGGAAACCGGGAAACCGGGAAACCGGGATACCAGGAAACCGGGAAACAGGGATACCGGGATACCGGGAAACCGGGAAACCGGGATACCGGGAAACCGGGATACTGGGAAACCACGAAACTGGGAAACCGGGATACCGGGAAACCGGGAAACACCGGGAAACCAGGAAACCGGGAAACCAGGAAACCGGGAAACCAGGATACCGGGAAACCGGGATACCGGGACATAGGGAAACCGGGAAACCGAGAAACCGGGATACCGGGATACTGTGATACCGGGAGACCGGGATACCGGGATACCGGGATACCGGGATACCGGGATACCGGGACACCGGGACACCGGGACACCGGGACACCGGGACACCGGGATACCGGGATACCGGGAGACCGGGAGACCGGGATACCGGGATACCGGGATACCGGGATACCGAGGAACCGGGATACCGGGATACCGGGATACCGGGATACCCGGATACCGGGAAACCGGGAAACCGGGATACCGGGATACCGGGATACCGGGAAACCGGGACACCGGGACACCGGGACACCGGGACACCGGGACACCGGGACACCGGGAAACCGGGAAACCGGGAAACCGGGATACCGGGATACCGGGATACCGGGATAACGGGATACCGGGATACCGGGATACCGGGAAACCGGGAAACCGGGATACCGGGATACCGGGAAACCGGGTTACCGGGATACCGGGATACCGGGAAACACCGGGAAACCAGGAAAACGGGAAACGGGGAAACCGGGAAACCGGGTAACAGGGATACCGGGAAACCAGGTTTAGGGTTTAGGGATACCGGGATACCGGGAAACCGGGACACCGGGACACCGGGACACCGGGACACCGGGAAACCGGGAAACCGGGAAATCGGGATACCGGGATACCGGGATAACGGGATACCGGGATACCGGGATACCGGGAAACCGGGAAACCGGGATACCGGGATACCGGGAAACCGGGTTACCGGGATACCGGGATACCGGGAAACACCGGGAAACCAGGAAAACGGGAAACGGGGAAACCGGGAAACCGGGTAACAGGGATACCGGGAAACCGGGTTTAGGGTTTAGGGATACCGGGATACCGGGAAACCGGGACACCAGGACACCGGGACACCGGGACACCGGGAAACCGGGAAACCGGGAAATCGGGATACCGGGATACCGGGATACCGGGATAACGGGATACCGGGATACCGGGATACCGAGAAACCGGGAAACCGGGATACCGGGATACCGGGAAACCGGGTTACCGGGATACCGGGATACCGGGATACCAGGAAACCGGGAAACCGGGATACCGGGATACCGGGAAACCGGGTTACCGGGATACCGGGATACCGGGATAACGGGATACCGGGATACCGGGATACCGGGAAACCGGGATACCGGAATACCGGGATACCGGGATACCGGGAAACCGGGAAAACGGGAAACGGGGAAACCGGGAAACCGGGTAACAGGGATACCGGGAAACCGGGACACCGGGACACTGGGAAACCGGGATACCGAGAAACCGGGATACCGGGATACCGGGGTACCGGGATACCGGGATACCCGGATACCGAGATGCCGGGATACCGGGATACCGGGAAACCGGGATACCGGGAAACTGGGATACCGGGATAACGGGATACCGAGATACCGGGAAACCGGGAAACCAGGAAACCGGGATACTGGGAAACTGAGAAAACGGGAAACCGGGAAACCGGGAAACTGGGAAACCGGGATGCCAGGAAAGCGGGATACCGGGAAACCGGGAAACACCGGGAAACCAGGAAACCGGGAAACCGGGATACCGGGAAACTGGGAAACACCGGGAAACCAGGAAACCGGGAAACCGGGATACCGGGAAACCGGGATACCGGGAAACCGGGATACCGGGAAACCGGGATACCGGGAGACCGGGATACCCGGATACTGGGATACCGGGAAACCGGGATACCGGGAAACCGGGATACCGGGACATAGGGAAACCGGGAAACCGAGATACCGGGATACCGGGATACCAGGATACCGGGAGACCGGGATACCGGGATACCGGGATACCGGGATACCGGGATACCGAGGAACCGGGATACCGGGATACCGGGATACCGTGATACCCGGATACCGGTAAACCGGGAAACCGGGATACCAGGATACTGGGATACCGGGAAACCGGGACACCGGGACACCGGGACACCGGGACACCGGGAAACCGGGAAACCGGGAAACCGGGATACCGGGATACCGGGATACCGGGATAACGGGATACAGGGATACCGGGATACCGGGAAACCGGGAAACCGGGATACCGGGATACCGGGAAACCGGGTTACCGGGATACCGGGATACCGGGAAACACCGGGAAACCAGGAAAACGGGAAACGGGGAAACCGGGAAACCGGGTAACAGGGATACCGGGAAACCGGGTTTAGGGTTTAGGGATACCGGGATACCGGGAAACCGGGACACCGGGACACCGGGACACCGGGACACCGGGAAACCGGGAAACCGGGAAATCGGGATACCGGGATACCGGGATACCGGGACAACGGGATACCGGGATACCGGGATACCGGGAAACCGGGAAACCGGGATACCGGGATACCGGGAAACCGGGTTACCGGGATACCGGGATACCGGGATACCGGGAAACCGGGAAACCGGGATACCGGGATACCGGGAAACCGGGTTACCGGGATACCGGGATACCGGGATAACGGGATACCGGGATACCGGGATACCGGGAAACCGGGATACCGGAATACCGGGATACCGGGATACCGGGAAACCGGGAAAACGGGAAACGGGGAAACCGGGAAACCGGGTAACAGGGATACCGGGAAACCGGGACACCGGGACACTGGGAAACCGGGATACCGGGAAACCGGGATACCGGGATACCGGGGTACCGGGATACCGGGATACCCGGATACCGAGATGCCGGGATACCGGGATACCGGGAAACCGGGTTACCGGGAAACTGGGATACCGGGATAACGGGATACCGGGATACCGGGAAACCGGGAAACCGGGAAACCGGGATACTGGGAAACTGAGAAAACGGGAAACCGGGAAACTGGGAAACTGGGAAACCGGGATACCGGGAAAGCGGGATACCGGGAAACCGGGAAACACCGGGAAACCAGGAAACCGGGAAACCGGGATACCGGGAAACCGGGATACCGGGAGACCGGGATACCGGGATACTGGGATACCGGGAAACCGGGATACCGGAATACCGGGATACCGGGATACCGGGAAACTGGGAAAACGGGAAACCGGGAAACAGGGAAACCGGGAAACCGGGTAACAGGGATACCAAGAAACCGGGATCTTGGGACATAGGGAAACCGGGATACCGGGATACCGGGATACCGGGATACCGGGGTACCGGGATACCGGGATACCCGGATACCGAGATACCGAGATACCGGGATACCGGGATACCGGGAAACCGGGATACCGGGAAACTGGGATACCGGGATATCGGGATACCGGGATACCGGGAAACCGGGAAACCGGGAAACCGGGATACCGGGATACCGGGATACTGGGAAACTGGGAAACCGGTGAAACCGGGAAACCGGGATACCGGGATACCGGGATACCGGGATACCGGGATACCGGGACACCGGGATACCGGGATACCGGGATACCGGGAGACCGGGAGACCGGGATACCGGGATACCGGGATACCGGGATACCGAGGAACCGGGATACCGGGATACCGGGATACCGGGATACCCGGATACCCGGATACCGGGAAACCGGGAAACCGGGATACCGGGATACCGGGATACCGGGAAACCGGGACACCGGGACACCGGGACACCGGGACACCGGGACACCGGGACACCGGGACCGGGAAACCGGGAAACCGGGATACCGGGATACCGGGATACCGGGATAACGGGATACCGGGATACCGGGATACCGGGAAACCGGGAAACCGGGATACCGGGATACCGGGAAACCGGGTTACCGGGATACCGGGATACCGGGAAACACCGGGAAACCAGGAAAACGTGAAACGGGGAAACCGGGAAACCGGGTAACAGGGATACCGGGAAACCGGGTTTAGGGTTTAGGGATACCGGGATACCGGGAAACCGGGACACCGGGACACCGGGACACCGGGAAACCGGGAAACCGGGAAATCGGGATACCGGGATACCGGGATAACGGGATACCGGGATACCGGGATACCGGGAAACCGGGAAACCGGGATACCGGGATACCGGGAAACCGGGTTACCGGGATACCGGGATACCGGGAAACACCGGGAAACCAGGAAAACGGGAAACGGGGAAACCGGGAAA